CATCCTCGAGTAAAAGCGGATCCGCCCGAGAAGGATTCATATTCGGAGATACGACGTATATTACCTGTTAGAAGAGATTTTAATTATCTATTGAAAAAGAAAAGGAAATCCCCTTGAAGGATTTCGAATTCCTGTCTACTAACCTGCTCGACACCTTCGCTTTCTCTGTAATGCAAGTCCAACGGTAGGGGCACAGGATAGGATTCGCCAACCTCGAGGTGTGAAATGATGGGATGAATAAAATTAAAACAATATGACTGTGTCCTGCGTGCGATCAAGTTTCATATACTCACAACGCCAGTATTGGGATATTGTCGTTTTATCTCGTCAGACAGCTTGGGGCCTATCGCTTCATATAACTGTTTGCCTAAGGTCGTAGTATCTGTCGACGCGCCGACATTATTAATGCAATGTTAAAATTTTTTCCATAGAATTAATAAAAATGCAGCCTTACCAGGCTTTAACCGCCAAGTTGTTTCGTGAACAACGTATCTTCAATTGATTTCATTAAAGGATCAGCAAAAGGTGACATGCCCGACAGAACCAATGATATCTTACCTACACACCATTCCAACATCACTTTTCATTCTGTTCAAGTTTCCATTTTTTATCTGAAACCTTGATTCTCCATTATCCCTACACGTCTCCCATCGCTATTATCACAATCGAGAAAATCAAAATTAGTTTCTCTCTACTAATCATCATCATTTAATGTGCTCACCAATTCAAAAGCTTTTGCAACATTATTATCTTGTTCGACTAGAATTAGTTCAAAATCTTGATCGTCGTGGTGATTGTTTAAAAATTCTTTTATAACCTTTTGGTTGAGGAAGGATGGTGGACTAATTTAACATCATTAAAACATTCGATTGGTTTTTGTTGATACTCGAAATTCAATGTATTGACCTCGCAGGCGATTCGCACGGCAACATCGATTGGAATTTTACCATGAGTTGTTGAAATAGAAGGAAATCCAAGTCTTACAATGGAATGATTGTTGTTGTTTCGATCTGTTGCCTCCTTAGAAAATCGACTCATTTGTTGTTATCGTTGAACAAAAAATCAAATTTACTGTATTTCTTTGCCGTAAAAGTGGAAATCACTTGAATTTCCTTACCATACTCGCACGGATGATAATCTCACCTCAATAGATTATTCTAGATTTTTTTTTTTTTTTGCTCCATGTCTCACATGTTTTCATGTGCTTCTGGAACAGTATCGAACCACAAATGATTCTTTCAATAAACTTGTTATGCAATATACATGTAGATATTCCAGTAGAAGATGAAGTTTTTTATTTCGTTGATTTTTAAAAGGCAAGCACCTGTTCCGTGCTGGCTATCTATTAGAAGAAAGAAATCGGATTATTCTTATTTGTAAATATGTATTATATACTTTTCAATGGTGAGGTGAAAAGTCAGAGACACTATTAAACGAAAAAGTTATAAAAACAATTTTAATTCCTGTCAATAAAATAATGGATATACATAATATATAATATGAATGAATCATCACAAAAAATGCGAATCTTATTATTACTTTTTGAAAGAATCGATTTTATGATAATATTAAAATAAAGTATTATTAATTGGTAAATGCTATTGCTCATTGTTATCCCACATTAAGTGAATTGACTCCAATCGCCTCACCTCGCTTCGCTATCACCGTGGCTGTATATCATACACTCCATTCTTTGCAAAGAAAATATGAAAAAATTTTTGTTACGATGACCTCAAGAGAGTCAATCTGTGTTGCCCTTAGCATTCATTGCAGCCTTATAATCATCAATGGTCATAGCATGCGTGAACATGGATCCTTGCATAGTC